AGAGAGAGAAAGAGTGATGAAGTGGGGAGGCAGAAAAACAAAGAGAAAGATGACAGGTCAGAAAGAGAGAGGAAGTCACATGCATGGAGGAGAAATAGAGAGCAAGAAAAGGGGGGCAGAGGGGAGAAATAGTGTGAGAGAGGTAGGGGGTGAGTAGAGGAAGCAAAGGTGTGATGGATGAGATAACCATCCCGCAAGTTTCTTGCGGGTCTCCACTTGTCTATATACTAATAGCCAAGAGTCCCCTCTGCATGTGGATACTTATTTCTGCCAACAGAGGGCTCACTCCCCCAAAAGGTTTTTCTACAGAATCAGGGGACTCTGTGGGTCTGCAGAAAAATCCAAAAAAACTCCTCAGGGAGGGTTGAATTCCCCAAAAAAACATTTTGAAATTGCCCTCTACTCCAGGCCCTGCCACACCAATAGTGAGAGATTAGAACTTTGGGGAGGGAAGCCTCTAACTGGTTCTGTCAATAAAAGGCAGGGTAAGGGCCCTTTCCAGGCCTATTTTTGCTTTTCAGGAAGGGATCCTTAGGCCCAGGCCTGACAAGAGTTGCCAGTGCTAGGCTCAGAAATTCCTAAGGAGGACTGGGTTTGGGGAAGGGAGAGACCTCAGCTGGATATAATGCCACAGAGTCCACCCTCCAAAGCAGCCATTTTCTTCAGGGAGACAGATCTCTGCTGTCTAGAGTTCAGTTGTAATTCTGGGGGATCTTCGGGCCCCATTTGGTGGTTGGCAAGCTTAGGCTTGGCAGCAACTTGATGCCATCTCACTTTCATGACTTGTAGGCCCACCTGCTTGCTTCTGTTCATCAGCAGCTACCCTATGAAAGTTAGTGTGATGTAACAGAGCTTCAGATTAGGTTCTGTGAGACCCAGGTTCAGATCCCCATCTTGCAGTGGAAGCTGACTGGGTTGTTTTGGACCAGTCACATACTTTTAGCCTAACCAACCTCACAGGGTTGTTGTGCAAATAAAAAGGAGGAAAGAATAATGTAAGCTGCTTTGGTCCTCACTGTGGAGAAAAACTGTAATTTTCCTAGGTAGAGGCTGTGGGGGAGGGGGGTGGAGACAGAAAGCTGAAGACAGATAAAGGCAGATAAAGGTAGGTTGGCTATTGGGTGGGAAGGAAGTAGGGTTGCCAACTCCAGGTTGAGAAACTCAAGGACATTTGAGGTGTGGAGCCTAGGAAGGGTGGAGTTTGAGAAGGGGAGGAACTTCTAATATGCATGGAGGAGAGATAGAGAGAAAAGGGGGGCAGGAGGGAGAAAGAGAGTGAGAGAGAAGAGTGTGAGAGAGGTAGGGGAAGAGGGGAGGACGCAAATGGGATAACCATCCTGCATGTTTCTTGCGGGTCTCCACTTTTAATAGTTTTATTTGTCACTGAAACACTGCATTTAGACCTGATTCTATTTCTAACACCTTTTACTTTTCCTTCTCAACTATCTTTAGTAATGTTAAGAGTTTCATCAGTCATTCATCAAGGCTTTTCATTTCTTTTGGTTAGAGGAATAGTCTTTGCACATTCTTCCGTGATAATATCTCTGGTTTCAACCCATAATTCTTCTGGTGCACATTCACTTGAAATTACTAATGTTCTTTACATGGTTTTTTAACTCTTCAGGAATGTTGTTTAGATTGTACCGTGTTTCCCCGAAAATAAGACACTGTCTTATATTTATTTTTTCTCAAGAAGACACACTAGGGCTTATACCACAAATGCATAGAAATCCTGCCAGGGCTTATTTTTGGGGTAGGTCTTATTTTCGGGAAAACAGGGTATTTTGGCACAAAAAGCTACATTTACCAATGTCCTTCTGGGCTGAGGAACCAGAAGCTCCTCATAGCCTGAGACTTTGCTATATAAGCTCTGTTCCATGTGGCAGTTTCTAAGTAGATGCCTCTTAAGTGGTGCCGTCATTGCAGGAAGCTGACACTTATAGGTGTTTTCTTTTGGGGCAACCATCCTTTAGAATACACTCCCAGAGACAGGACAGTACTGATTTTTTTTAAATGTGGGTCTTGTAACAGGGCAGTTATGCATCACTTCCTGAGATTCTGTGGCTGGCTTTACCTCTTGTGGCAGCCATTCTGTGGTTCCACTCATCACCTAATGTCAGAATTCCAAAGGCGCCTGCAGGTTCATAAAGGTTGGGGACCTTTGGGCTAAATAATTCTTTAAAAAAGTAAGCTAAGACATATTTTACAAACTATTCAGAGTGGATTCTTGCTTATACACTTACTTTATACACTAAGAAGCCTAACGTACATTCTTCCACTATTAACAACATTGTTTCAGTAGATTGTTTTTAAAAACTGAACATTTAAGCACCACATCTTAGATGCTCCTTAAACTATATATTTTACTAACACAAACTACTGATACGGATTTATCTATACTACCAAACATCTTGAGAAAACATTTTAAACAGTATACTTTTTCACCTTTTTAGTGGTCAAATTTATTAGCAATTTTACACTTAAAAGAACAAATGCATGGATTTAAAATTGCTTAAATCTGTGAACACAGTGATGAAACAATTTTAATTGTTAAATGCACTACCCTTTACTGATCAACACAAGTTGGATGGTCAACGAGGAGAACTGGCACACCAGCCAGTTCTTGTAAGACACTGTAGCTGAAGCATCTGCCCTGTCCCTTTCTTGCACGCAAAAGCCTGAGATGATCCAGAGGCACAACCTTGTAGTGCTAGCTGATAGGCAAGAGCCACAGGACTCTCATCCTGAAGTTGGAAATAAAATCTGTGGGAAGACACAGATGGGGGTAGAGAGAGACCCAGACCAACCAGTCTTGCACTCAGAAGACTTTGTTCGTTGGTTAGTTTTTTTATACTGGACTCTTGTACTGTAAGCCACTTTTATATCCCCACCGGTGAAAAGGCAGCATATAAATGATTAAACAAATCAACCACCGGAGAAAAAAACTATTTAGAAATCTCACCCTCAAATTCTATAAATTGTCAGGAGCCTAAGCTGGTTCAATTCTCCTTCCCCTCCTCCTCACTTATTTTTAGGGGTGGGGCCCTCAAGTTACATTTAGCTGCTCTCAACATTCTGTCCCTTCTGCAACATAGTCAGTCCTCTAACTTTGGATAGTTTTTTGAGGCTGTTAATACTTGAAGAATACCATCAGTATGTAGAGACCCTACTTTGTAAGTAGACCCTACAATGCTGCTTTCATTATCCACATGGAAGCCAGTCAATTTATTAGATACAGTAATAAATATAATAGCATAATAGTTACCGAACTTTGCAGTGTAAATCCAAACAAATTATTCAACATACCTGCACAACCCAAGGGCTATTTGCAAATGCCATGATGTCTCTCTCCTCCCAAAAGAATGCAGAATCTGATCTTTTTATCATCTCAAACTTGCTCAGAAGCTTCATGGCATAGACCTTTCTTGATGACTTGTGCCTTACCTTTAAAAGTGAAATTTAAGATGAAGAAAATATTAGCATAAATAAAAAATGACACAGTCCATTCTACTCATACACACAGATCTCTCTCACTGGGTCCTCAACCAAGTGCAATTTGTGCCAAGTACATTATAATAAAACACAAGTTTCTTGAATGGAAGGCTGAAGATGTGCATGGGCAAGAACAGGAGGAGATTCTAAAGTTATGTTTTAAAAATATCCCATCCATAGGCACAGCTTATTAGCTGTACACTAAATACTTTAATACCTTTCCTAGATTTAGGATTTTATTGCTTGGATCCTATGGCTTCATTCTGTATGCAATTCTCCTCAGCCAATGCTATGGCAGTACTCCACTGCAAAGCTTGTTCCCTCTGGTGCTTGGCACTTCTACTTGAACAAGGACAGTGTTTAAAGGGGGTCCAAAATGCCCAGTATAAGAAGAACTCATGCTATGCAATGGAGGACATCTGCAACAAACAAAATTAAGCACACACAGAATGGAGGCACAAGATCCAAACATATATTTAGTAAAATTATTGAAAATGAATATTTCATTTATTAGCCTATTTTCTATAACATTTCTATATTTTCTTGATGTTGTCAACCTAACTCTTTCGAGAGCAGAGCAATGTGGACCATGAGAAACAAAGGAAATTGAAAGATGAGAACAAACACTGTTCCCTTTAAAGAGAAGACAAGAAGCACCAACAAGGAATTTAAAGCACCCAAAATATTCTAAATATTTTTTTGCTTTTAAAGTAGCCTTTTCATTACAAGGGAATTGTTCTCATTTTCCTTCTCCCTTTTTCTTGGTCAGTTTTTAAAGAACAACCCCCCCCCCCCATAATACTTTATTTTGAGGAAGAACAGGCTGTATACTACAAATCAGCATCATTTAGAACCTTCTAGAGCTAACCTCAACACCTTTTTAGGGCACAAATTCCTACCCAGCTGAAGGCAATCAAGGCCACAACTTCCCACTCATCTTTCCTCAATACACAGCAGGCGGACAGTTACAACCAGGAAAGCAAGGTATGCTATGTGATTATAGGAAAGGCCATTTCAAAGAATCTGTTACAACTAAACAACCTGTCCTTCCTTGTGGCCTATGCACTGCCACACCAACAGGAAAGTAGCAATCTAACCTACTTGGAGGCAGGAACTGGTGATATTAGGAGAACAGCCTTTGCAAAGGCCATGCCAGTTTAGTATGTGCGTCTAAGGCATAATGTTTCAACCAGGTATCTATCCTGCAGAGTTAAAGTATAGGTATAACTCTACTAAAAGCAGTAGAGGTCATGACTGCTCTAGGTGAGTGAACTGTAAGTGTGCATTATGTACACCAGTTCATAGCAAAACTTAATTACAGTTGTGTCCAGTGCTCAGATGCTGAGAAGACACTTGCTAATCCTGATTCTGTCTACCCTAGCAGACAAAAAGAAGCAAAAGACAGTCCTGACAATGCAGACGCATAAGGATCCATGGACGCAGTGTAACTTTCCTTCAATATAGCAGGTCAGAGAAAAGTGCTGGCTCATCTCAGTAAGGTTACAGCAACCAATAACAGAATTTTAGATTCAAAAGGTGGAAGTCGCATGTTGCTGTCTGAACTGACATTTCATCAATTGTAATAAAACCAGCTACGGATTCTAAAATGGAACAGATGGCGAACCTGGAGGGTCACATCCCCTGAACAACTAATTAACCAAGGAAGTAATCTCACTACATGGAAAAACTAAGCACATACTGCTGCTATGTGGAAGACTGAGGAGCAGTTGTTACAGCAGAAAGAATAAGTTTCATTTACCCACTGCAGGAGGGAGACAGGAGCACAGGTGGAGTCAAAAGAAGGCTTCAGATTGATTGGGGGGCATTCC